TTGCTAACTAATGAAAACATCTCATAGATATTTAAATCTTGAAATCTCGGAAGCTCGGAAGTCCGATTCGCACTTGGCAAAATATTTGTTTATATTTAACCTTACCTCAGACATACTCATATTTTTTATATATAATTTACTATACTACTATATAAGCTACTACTAAAAAAATAGTAGTAGCTTTGCTATGGTATTATAGTACCTATATTTTGGATTAGATTTAATTTATTACAGAGCCGTGGTAGCTCAGTGGTTAAAGCTCGCTGTAAATATAACAGAACGCGAGTAACCCGGGTTCGATCCCCGCCGGCACCAATGAAATTGTTAATTGCAATTTTAAGTGCTGATTTACCACGTGCTCGGCGGTGAAGGAAAACATCGTGAGGAAACCTGCATGTCTGAGGAATAAGAAAAAAATATTTCGAAGACATGTGAAGTTCGTCAACACGCATTTGGGCAGCGCGGCGGACACTTCCTTGCCCTAAACCTTCTCAGAAATGAGGGGAGGCCTGAGCCCAGCAGTGGGACGTATATAGGCTTTAACTTTACTTTACTTTACTTTTTTTACAGAATAACCTACCTTAGATATTGGGTTATGAATACAGATAAGTACACATAGGATTTAGTTTCTAAGTTATACCTACATATTTATAGCCTTCGTTATGAATAGCATAAACAGGTCAAGCCCCGACCAAGTAACGAATTTCTTTCTACAATCGCGCCTTTTATTTGTTTGGACTGATCACCTGACTCGTTCAGTGATGCCATTCCCATACAGCGTGTAGTTTTCAACTAGCGTTATCTATCATAAAATAAATAAAAATTTTATTCATATTTCGCTAATTGTGTCTGTACTGTGAATTTGATTTACAATCGATCTCTAAATTGTAGTTTTCGAGTTATGTCCCTTTAGTGGGTACAGGCGTGATATTATATTGTGTGATTGCGTAAAGAATGCATAGATAGGCGATAGCAGCAATCGCGGTTGATTTGCTGTCATTTATTGAAGAGTGCCCCCGATTTCTCCAAGATCCCATCATCAGATCCTGATCTGATCATCGTCGATTACCGTGGGATTATCTGGAAAATATATCCAAATCGGTTCAGGCATATTCGAGAAATCGGGGGACAGAACATACATAAACAAAAACCAAGGAATTGAGAACCACCTCCTTTTTTTCGAAGTCGGTTAAAAAGTAGGTAAAAACAAATCAATGGAATTATTATATAATAACAACATCTACTTAAGTTCACATAAGAACTTTCATCATAACAACTAAGTACATAAATTGGGTTCATAATAATTACGTTTCACACAGCAGATTCTAAGTTACAATAACACCAATTTGCTTTCTCTCTCCTTTCTCTTTTTAAAATTTTCTCCAGTATCGTGGAGGCAGTTTACAAATATAAATTGCATAAGAACAAACATCCAGACCCGAAAAAACTATTTGTAGTCCATACAAAATATTTGTTCCGTGGGGGATTCGAACCCGCGGCACTCAGCGCAGCTACTCATTGCTAAGCTATTGCGGCACGAAGTTCACAACTGCCGTTTGAGTTTATGTTATTATTCTAAAATGAATCGCATAGGTACCTAGGTACGCGATGATGCCGTCGCGCATTGCGTCACTCGAGTGCGTATGTGTGTGCGCACTAGCTTCTTACTGCTCATCACAGCGTCTATCCCTTTCGCACGAGATGTCGGCTGAGATAGCATGAATTTTTGCCCCGCCCACCACTTAGTTCGTGCCATCGACTAGGGCAACCTTAACTAAAAATATAGTGTATGTATTATGATTATAACATAATATAATAATTGGGGTGTCTAAGGGTGTGCGTTAATTACGTTACATATTGTATTTAGAGACTATTTTTCATAAAGAGGTTTGGAATTATAGAATAAATATGAAATTTTCTATCCTCCTGTGGAATAAAAAGTCAGTTAGTCTATGGATATTTATTTTTAATCTACGCTCATTTCGTACGTCATTTTCGTGTGAATGTTATTGTGTTGATTTTTGGATTTTTCTAGTGTTTTATTAGTGTTTTAGTATAGTGTTTTATTATAAAATTGTAATAAAAGTTTTTCTGTGAATATAATTTATCTTTTTACGTAAATAATTTCGATGATTATATAGAAATAATTGTGATTTTCACGCTGCCGACATCCGCGTGGTATGTTTTTTTTTGTTATTAAAATACAATAAAATCTTTTTGTAATGAAGTTCAACCTGACTTTTGTTTAGACCACAAAATTTTTTTTGTATAAATTTTATAATGCCAAACTTCTTTATAGAAAAGTAGTCTCTAAATATAAGTTTTAACGGTTTAAAGTGCTGTGGGTGTGTGTGAATGAATGCGGTCAAATGCTACCGCTCGGGAATTGACGGACGCATGCGACTGCATGGGATTTTTATGGGGATTAAGGGATTAAACTTTTAAACTGCACTATTAGTTTAAAAGTTTAAATAGAATTTCTTTATTAATAGCTTAATTTGTGTAAATATCAACGGGTTTAGCCAAAAAGACCTTCTACTTTCGTTAAAATTATAGAAAACTATTAAAAAAAAATTATTTTATTTGTTTTTATAGTTTTCTATAGCATTTACGCTTGTAGAATGTTATCTTGGTTAGTGGTGTTAAATTCACTCAAAGCTACTCAGCAAAACCTTTATAGCATCTTTTTGTTTTATGTAATCTTTTGCGAGCTGAAAGAAAAAGTACATTGTGTAATTATTTTGAAACCCTGCAAATGGATGGTGTAAATTATTTCGATGTTGTAATTTTTTTGTATATCTAAGCTAAGTACTGGTATTACGAATACCGAATAGTACATCTCGATAGCTCGTAAACAGTAAACTCGTGAAAAGATTTAGTGGATCTTACAGACACGCATTGTTATATATATTCATCTGTTTTGCGTAAGATACAAGGCGGCCACTGCTAATGGTTTCAGTATGGTCATTTTTGTTTCTCACACTTATTATGCCACACATTCAATTAGCCACAATATTTCATAACATCATAGATTGACTGACAGATAATACCGTTAGAAATTAAGTTCCCCTTTTTGACGTGGTTGAGTCATGCTGCAGTTATATTAATACTATTATCATCGTCATCATCATCGTCATCGTCATCGTCATTATCGTCGCCATTGCCATCGTATTCATTGTCATCATCATCGTCATCGTCATCGTCATCGTTATCGTCATCATCTTCATCATCGTCATCATCGTCATCATCATCATCATCATCGTCATCGTCACCGTCATCGTCATCGTCATCATCGTCGTCATCGTCATCAGCATCGTCATCATTATCGTCATCGTCATAGTACTATCGTCATCTTCATCATCATAATCATTGTCGTCATTTCCGTCATCTTCATCGACATCGTCATCGTTATCGTCATCATCGTCGTCATCGTCATCATCATCGTCATCATCACCCTAATCGTCATCGTTATTGTCGTCGTCATTATCATCGTCATCATCGTCATCGTCATCATCATCATCATCATCATCATCGTCATCATCATTGTCTCAATAATCATCATATCGTCATCATCATCGTCATCGTCATCGCATCGTCATCATCGTCATCATCATCTTCATCATCATCGTCATCGTCATCATCATCTTCATCATCATCGTCATCGTAGTTGAAGCACAAATAGGTAGGCTCGACCGGGGAAGGACCAAGCTCTCAGAGAATACCAGCGTAAAATAGGAGCTTAATTCTGCTGTATTTTGTAAGGTGAGTGTAGAGAACCGGATAACTATTTTACTGGAAACGAGGCATACCATCTTAATACTCACGGGTGACAACGCATCTGCATTTTGATTCGTAATCGAATATAGCTGTAGATGTCTATGGGCCACAGCAACCATCAGGTGGACTGTGTGATCGTTTGTAATCCTTATCTTACCTCGTTTATAATGGTGATAACGATAAAGTTTAAATATATTTTTATAAATGTATAACAGCTATGAATTTTGTACAGCAAAGTATACCAGTTTACACCTTATTAAAGTTTAGTACTAATTTTACTATTTAATAATGAGTCGCTTAGGGTAGGCGCTAGCGTTGCCACAGTCAAATCAAATCTGTGAATTTTTTAATGTTTAAAAATATTTATACTTCCAATATGACTTTAAAATCAGCAGTGTTTTATAGTACTTAGTTTGATAAAGTGCCACAGATATTATTATAAGGAAACCATCAAGGATTATTGTGTGGTGCTTATGTGTATTTTGTGATAAATAGTGACCATAAACGTTGACGTTACGAGTAAATAAATGCAGTATGGGATATTAACTAGTTAACTAATGGATTATTCAAGCATTTTGACCTGGTGAGTGAAAGTAAATTACGTGAAAATTGGTGATAAACATAATTTTGTACGTTATATTTTCAAATGACATGTAAACACAATCAGCTGATGATTCATTAAGGTATGATAGGATAGTGGGTCACTACTACTCACAACTAGATGACACTAGTTGTCATACAAATATTGGTGACACTTATTGATAATAATGAAGAACAGATTTTTAGCACTGATTGCGATCAGGACAACCGCCTCTAATATTAGTACTGACCACAATCACTACTTGCCATACATCTGCCAACGACAGCGCGTCGTCTACCAATACATAAAGGTACTAGTTTCCACGATATAAGATAATTACATCTAATCTTGCTACTCATCACTTGACGTCGCTATTCGCCATACAACAACTGAAGCAACAGCGTGACATCTACCAAGATATAACGGTACTATTTCTGCAATTAAGTGTATACTGAGATATACTACAGAATGTCGAAACCCACTAAAAAAGGTGTTATCAGTGAGCGCAAGAGGGCGCTTACCGTTAAATGCCACAAATGCAAACTGATAGTTGACTCAAAAAATACAGTATTATGTTCATTGTGCTGCAACTATTTCGAATTCGATTGCATAGGCTACTCTGAAAAACTACACTGTCTCAAAAATGCAAAAACAAAAAAAGAATTGGAAATGTAAGTCGTGTTGCAAAACAGCGAAGGAGACTTCTACACCAAATCCCCCATTTTATGTGACTCAAAGGAAAAAGGACAATATCCCAAAATTAAGCGATACTTCTTCGTCCAATCTGACCCTAATAGCAAATGCGCCTGAGTTTTCGAAATCGACACCAGTGAGCATAGACTCAAATATAGACCACCTCCAAGGAACACCCTCAGGCATGTCATCACGCACTGATGAACAACAATCACAAACACCGAACACGAGTGTTGCATCGCATCTGTCATTAGACTCGCCGATCCCTGATCTGAGTAATGACTCAATAACGCAGGAGACTCTTGATTCCCTGGATATACGACTATCAAAAAGTTTGGACTGCACTGTGACCGACCCAATCCCAATTCAGGAAATGAAAGAGACTACCAGTCTGCTACGGTCAGAGTATGCAATCCTACAGAATGAATTTGATAATACTTCATTGGAAAATAACAACCTCCGTCAGCAACTTAGCAAATTGGCAAAGGAAAATGATATGCTAAAGGCCCTGTGCCAATCTCCACTAAACGACAGCCAAACAATTCATTGCTCCAAAAAAAGTAATAGGCGCTTAATACTACAACCCGAAGCTGTATCTCCCATGACATTTTCAAAACCTACATCAACCGTCAAAACAGCTCCCCTGGACTCTTCACTACAAACCCTCTACGATAAAATTAAGATCTTGCAGAAGCAACTAAAATCCGCAGAAAAGGAGATATTGAAGCTGAAAAAATATATTGATACATTGGAACAAAGACTATCATATGACTCACAAGAGATTCTTGAAAGGACGAACATTGAATGCTGTAGACATGCTGACGATAGTAAACGGATATTTGTCTTCGGAACGCAACGCTGTATTGGGCTGTCGGCAGCCTTAATGCGTACAAGACAGCACACACAATATGAAAAATACGTCGTTACTGCACAAACAAAGCCGTATGCACTGTCCCCAGATGTATTATGTAATGTAAACAATTTAAAAGTTAATTCTAGTGACAAAATAATAATTTGTATTGGAGAAAACGATTACGATAAGAAAATTACAGCTGCAAACCTACACAGATTAGTAAAACAGTTTATTAAACATGACATAATTGTAATAAATGTATTGTCGAATAAGTACTTGAATGTAATTGACTTGAACCACAGTATAAATCAAATTTGTAATAAATATCAAAACTGCCACTATATCAACTGCAACTCTAGTAATGTTTTTCAGTTAGCTAAGTCTATTAATTATGTGATTGACTGTGTCGATTATGAACGCAACTATCTCAACCCTAACCAGCTGAGAAAATTTATAGTGCGCGGTATGCCTAAAATGCAAAATATTCAGGTAGAACCCACAAAAGAAACCATTCCACATTTCTTTTCTCGAGCCCTACCAAGGAATAATAGCTCTAACGATACTGCTATTACCAAATCATCGCGACTAAATCAAACTACTTTACATCAGTTTTTCCCACGAATAAATAAAAACAATTCATTTCGCACCTCAAGGCAATAAAACCAAAAATCATTTCAATATAATGCACCAAAACATTGCCAGTATACTAGCAAAGCAAGATATCCTGGAAATCACTTTAGAGGAACTAAACAAGTCTGGTAATGAGCCGGATCTGATATGTCTCTCTGAAACCTTTTTGAAAACAGGCAACGAAAAATATATAAACCTTAATAATTATAAGTTGGCAACAGCCTTTTGTAGAGATAAGCAGAGGGGTGGCACATGTATCTTAGCAAAAAAAAAAGAACAGTACTTACCGGGAAATTACAAAACTAAAAGCGTATGCAACCCAAAACACTTTCGAGGTTTGTGGAATTCAAATACCTCTGCATAAATTAATAGTTATATGTATCTATCGTACACCCAAATCAGACCCTAAAGTCTTCCTACATAAACTAGACCAGCTATTATTTGACCTATTAAGAAAGCATAAACATGATACCAAAATTGTCTTGACTGGTGACTTTAACATCAACACTTTAAAAAAAGGTAATATTGCAATCTTTTTTTAGTGATTTATGTCGTAATTATAATTTGAATATACATATTAATGTACCAACTCGCAAAGATTCATGTATTGACCATGTCCTTAGCAATATCAAAGACGCTACTGCCAAAGTGATTCCCCTATATCTATCAGATCATGACACCGCACAGCTTTTAAGTTTTCCAGTTCGCCAATCTTTTAAACCAAGGTCATTTACTATATTGAGAAAGGACTACAGTTGTGAAAACATCCGCAAATTCAGGGAGTGTCTAGACAGTATGACTTGGAGCAAAATTTACTCGAACACTGATCTCAACACGGCATTCGCAGAGTTTCATCTTGAACTTTGTCTATTCTACAACCTATGTTTCCCAGTAAAAAAAATTCGGATCAATAATTCTATTACACATAAACCAAAATGGATAAGCAACGGGCTGAAAACTAGCTGTAAAACAAAGCGGTTATTACGTTTCAGATACTATAAAAGTAAAACAGAAAAAAATAAAAATGAATATTTAACGTACTCTAAAATTTTAAGAAAATGCATTGACAATTCAAAAAAGAATTCTAATATGAAATTTATTACTAATAGTAAAAATAAATGTAAAGCGACATGGACAATAATAAAAAATGAAACCTGTTATTCCAAAGTAGATAATAACATTTCCGAAATAAATTTTGACCATAAGATATTGACCAATCCTTCTGACATAGCTGCGGCTTTCAATAATTATTTCATAGAACTGACTAATTTTAAAGATACTACAATGATTAATACACAACGAAATCAAAATACCAAGATTATGCCAAATTCAATGTTTCTTCTTCCAATAAATGAAAATGAAGTTAAAAAAGAAATTATTAGCCTAAACAATACTAACTCTGAGGGTTTTGACGGAATCTGTACGAGAATTATTAAAGAATGTACTAAAGAGCTTGTGCCCATCTTAACACACCTTATAAACCTCTCATTCTCAATGGGTATTTTTCCTGAGTTGCTGAAGCAATCTATCGTCAAGCCTCTGCACAAAAAAGGTGCAAAAGATGAGGTCAGCAACTATCGTCCCATTACTTTAATTCCAATTCTATCTAAGATATTTGAGAAATGCATGCATCAAAGAATAATGAAATACTGTAACACGTATAATATTATTAATAAAGAACAGTTTGGATTTCAAAAGGAAAAGTCCACAACATTAGCAATCTTCACTCTAGTTAAAACAATATTAAATAATTTAAATGACGGATATTTGACCACAGGACTATTTTTTGACATGTCAAAGGCTTTTGATTTTGTTGATCACAAACTTTTATTAAATAAATTAGAATCAATAGGAATAAGAGGACCCACTTATCAGTGGCTAAAATCCTACTTAAACAATCGAAGTCAACGCGTAGTAGTCAGCAAGTTAGTAGGCGACGAAGTTTTATCTTACGCTTCTGAATCAAAAATTGTTGAGTGTGGTATCCCCCAGGGAAGTGTGCTAGGGCCTCTAATGTTTATTTTATATATCAACGATATAACGGTAGTGACAAATCATAAATGTGTTTTGTTCGCCGATGATCTATCTATTATTGTGACATCTGAAAAAAACTCTATACACGATCACGAAACTGATATAAATAAAACAATTGACAACGTTATTAAATGGCTAAACGTAAACAATTTAAAACTAAATCTAAATAAATCACATTTTATCCAATTTAATCAATCCAAACATAAACAATTAAATTTTAAGCTAAATATTAATAAATTAAAGGAAATAAGGTCTACCAAGTTTCTGGGAGTAGTCATAGACCAGGACCTAAACTGGAAATTACATATAGAGTCTTTGTGTAATCGTATTAATAGTTTTGTATATGCCCTTAACAAAATGAGAAAAGTGACAAACTTACAAACGGCTCTTATTACATACCACGCGTATATAGCTTCCATTTTGCGCTACGGGATAATAATGTGGGGAAATAGCACAAATATACAAAAGGCGTTTATAGCTCAAAAAAAGTGTATTAGAGCTATCTCTGGAATACCGCCTGGCATATCCTGTAGAACAGTTTTTGCAAATCTCAACATACTTCCGCTGCCGGCACTATATATTTTTGAAATAAGCTGTTTCGTGAAGAGAAATATCAATTTGTTTATGAAAGCAAGTGACATGAACACAAGATTGAAGCGAAATCCTAATAGACTTGTGTTAGACGTTATCCCAAGGTCAGCTAAATACCATAAAAGTTGCCTAAAAATGTGTTTAACGATATATAATATAATTCCTAATGACATCAAAAATTTAAATATTAATCAATTTAAATCAAAATTATTTAAGTGGCTCATTGACAGAAAAATATATGACATTAAAGACTTTATTGACATCAATCCCTAATACTATTCATGTTATATTATATATTTTAATTTATCTTTAATTCAATGTAATTTATTGTAATGAGACTTTGTGATATTATTTTTATGATTATACAAGATAATAATATTAATTTTGCATGCTATTTGTAATAGCGAGACATGTGCACCTTTTTAACATGTACCACCTTTATATACCATGTTCTTACGCAAATAAAAATTCTGATTCTGATTCTGATTCTGAATTCAAAGTATCATATACCACAATTGAAAGCTCAAAATTAGGGGTCTTAATTATTCTATATATTATATTAATATGTAGTCTTCACAGAGTGTAACTGTAAGATACCTTAACCGTTACAGCGACAGAAAGTTGACTAACTGTTACTTTTGAGCATATTTCGACTTACATTCGTAGATTTCGAAAAATATGTATTCTAGTACAATCATCACAGCCCATCAAAGTCCACTGCTGAACAAAGGCTACTTTCATAAGAAAAATACTTGCCATAGATGCCATGCTTTGCAGGCGGATTGGTACTCGCAGTGTTTTTCATTTTCTGGTTATTATTCGAACGACGTTTCTACGGGTAGCAGATCTACCTCTTGGTTTGTTTCACTCTATCGTCTTTAACGGCAACCAAGAGAGTCATTTACAAGAAAAATTATGATGTCAGTCAATTCAGTTTCTCATGAAGATCAAAAGCCTCTATCGAACTAAATAGGACTTTATTACTAGAAATACCAAAAACGCAAACTTGTCCCATACATTTAGTAGAAAATTGTGTTATAAAACTAACACAAGTGGTAAAAGTAAGAATTTTGTACAAATGACGTCACTATATAAATAAAATGGACATCATCAATGTAGTCGAAGTCGATTTAATACGCTTTATTAAGAATAAATCAAAAACTACCGGACAGATCTCAATAAAATTCTTATGAAACGACTTGAGAAGCACCTGTTTATAAATAGAAAAGAATGATCAAATTCGGTTCACCGAGAAAAAAGTTCTAACATAAATAAAAACTAAAATAAAAATACAGTCGAATTGAGAACCTCCTCCTTTTTTAAAGTCGGTTGAAATGTAAAACACTGAAATCGTATATTATATTTTTATAAACATTACACAAAAGTACATTAAGGCACCCTGGGATATGAGTTGTTCAAAATTAGTATTTCACGCATGCATAAATTCACTCGCTTTTGTACTGAGAGGATAGCAACCGATAATTTACTTGAATGAATTTCATACAAAACTCCTGTTAGTGCATCTTCCAGTTCCTAAAAACTATCAAATTTCTTTTTGTGTACTACAATTTTCTATGTAGCTCCACTTAAAGTAGTCAAGAATGGTTAGAGTAAAACTGTAAGGTGGTCATTTAATTACAAATTTTATGCCCTACTTACTGTGTACCCAATTTCCGATTTAAATTAGAACGCGTAAGACTCTATTCTGGTGCAGCACCA